GGCCTAAAGGGACCAGACCTCGGCGTTGAGTCGGGCCACGCCGAGGTCTGGAGGCTCGGCGTTAAGTGACCCAACGCCGAGATTCTGGGGCACCGTGCTTTGTTGGGCCGCTCCGGGTGGGTCCATTAGCTCGGCGCGCAGTCCAGCCGCGCCGAGGTTGGGCACTTGGCGTCGGCTGACACGACGCCGACATCTCGGACCCACGCGCCACCGTGTCGACGACGGTCCGTGACGTGGCAATACCTCGGCGTTGAGTGACACGACGCCGAGCCTCATATCTAGGCGTCATGTGCTAAGACGCCTAAAAATGGTCTATTTTCAGAAAATGTTTTGGCGTATGTATTTTTCTAAAAATTATTTTCAAAAGAGACCAAAATACAAAAATTTCACGCGTACTGCACTATCCTCTGTTTCCTTTTTTTTTGAGGGGGCTATCCTCTGTTTCCTGTCCGTGAGAACTCCATACAGGAATCTTTGAACAAAAAAAAAGGAACTGCACACAGGAAATGCATCCCCTCACAAGGGCTCACCCTGTCACTCATCTCTTTGTCACCGCCTGATTTTCAAAATGGGTTTGGTCAACCGCATCATTGGGAGCAAACTAGTTTGCTGGATGAATGGACTAATGCTCTGTTCGTTTGGTTTATAAGTTTTACTTTTTTAACTAAAGAATAATATTTTTCTCTCGTAATAAATCAGTCATAAGTATTTTTAGTTATGACTTATCAGCTAAGCGAACAAGGCATAACTAATCCGTGTTCATGGACACTTTGCTTGTGGCTTGCGAGGGATGCAGCCTGTTACCCCGTGAGACGGCAAGAGCAGAGAGATCCTGATGGGATCCACTGGCACAGTGCACTGAACATTGCCCAATGATCAGTCTGGTTGGTCCGATCTGATGGGGGATGCACTGTACAGGCAGATGGACGCATTGGACGTCTGGACCCGCTTTAAATCCGACGCCCCTACCTATATCATGGGAACGGGATTTGTTTTCTCCTTTGCAATTTCTGTTCTGCTCTGGATTAGTTTTAGTTTTGTTGGTATAAGGTATTCTGGATTTTTAGCATTTTTATATGCACTATCCTGTTCGCTTCTCTTATAATATGTCTTTTTCGACTTTTTTTTTTCAACCGAAACAATGTTTTTCTCTCCCAACAAATCAGCCGGAACAATGTTTCGACTTGTTTTTTCAGTGAAACGAACGGGTCCATTGTGTGGGTGTTTGCCAATAAGTATTTCAGGCTTCCAGCTAGGGGAAGATCATTTATGTGAGACTCTGATGTTGTTGTTAACACAATCACGGATTTTGTAGATTAAGTAGCTCTTTGTCGAGCCATCAGTATTTAATTTAATACTATCTTAAAATGCTATAACTTTTAGTCAAATTCAAAATGGGCGATCTGTAGTTGAGTGTTGATGATCACAGCCTCTCAATCGATTTCATGTATGCTCAACATTACTCTCCATGACCCGTCCAGAAACAAATACAATTCTAACATATTATCAAGTCAACTAATTTCAACTTTACCTGAATTTATCAATATTATGATATCAAAATAAATATCACTAGATTAATCATGCAGTATATCTTCAATAGCATATTATCTGTATGGTGTCGTAGATATTGATATTATTTATGTTCTATAAGAGCAACTCCAACAGCCTTTGTATAATGCTCCTTAAAACCCGGTTTGACGATTATTGGCCAAAAAAAACACTTCCAACAGCTTTTGTATCCTGTTTTCTTTTTTCCCCCAAGCGCTATCCCGGCTGTCTCGCTGGCTATTTTTTGCGAGCCGTGCCTGCTGGCCATCTACGGCTTCCATGTATGGTTTTCTCTCCCATGCGCCTAACTCTCCTGTGATTGGCTAGCACATGTGATCCCATCCTATTTCAAGCGCCAGGAATAAGTCAAGTAGGTGAAAATTGATGGCAGTTACTTGATGTGGCCAACTTTTTGAATATAGAGGATGGAAAATAGCTAAGCTGTTGTAGATCTCTTCTCTTTTGAGGATTTTTGTATTTTACATAATGGCTAAACTGTGAAATTGGGCTACTAATTTTAGATGAACTCTTGGAGTTAGCTCTAAGTTTAGTTAAACTTTAGCTAGTTTAACTAGAGGTGCAACAAGAATTGCATTTTTTTTTTCTAACGGAGAGTCACCTATATCTGCAAACACGTCAAGGAGGAAATGAAGGTTGACAAATGACGACAAATAGACATGATCTGCTATTTGTGCCTAAATTAAACGCACAAAATCACAATAAAGTAGTACAGTTTCAGCGTTGCTAAGTTTATGATAGACCGATCGCGTGCACGTACGATATTGGAAACCAGAAACTAGGAAAGTCGAACCATTAGGCGCCCATGGCTTACATTCCAACCACACTAAACCCAAGATTTTGCATTACCCTTTTCGTCAATGGTTTAATTTATGTTTGACCCCAAGGCATCACAATGGATTAAGTACCGCTTATTCAACTGCTCTCCAAGCATCTTTCTGCGATCCATCGTCAGAAAATCCAAGAAATCACAACCGATCACCGCACCGTCGCACCGCGATTCCTGAAATGCTCACCAGGTTGCCCACTCCCGCATCTGGCCTCCACAGATAAGAAATGATACGACGATGCTCGCCAGGATCATCTTCTGCGTGGTCATCGCCGCCGCCGTCCTCCTCGCCACCGTCTCCCCGCTGCCGCACCGGTCGGGCGGGCAGGGCGCTCCAGGCCAGCAGCGCACCTTCACGGTGTACATCCATCCCACGGCATCGACAGCCGTGCAGCAGGAGCAACAAGTCCAAGAGCGCCGGCGAGGAGCGAGCGCGCTGGTGTCCCACCACCGGATGACGGCGGGGCCGGAGAGCGCGTCGACGATCGTCGGCGCGGCCTCTGGGTTTCTGCCCCCGGCGGGGGAGCGGGGCGCCGCGGCGTCGGTGTTCGACACGGTGCACCTGGCGTTCGACGGCGGCGCCGGGCTGTCCGGCAGCCTCTGCGTCGAGACGAGCGACGAGAAGGCGCGGCGGGGTGGGAGACGCCGGCACAACGGCGAGGAGGAGGTGCTGCGAGTGGTCGGCGGCACTGGCGCGTTCGCGTTCGCGCGAGGGCGTGCCGTCCTGAGGGGGCAGCGGCCCCACCCTGGCGCCACGGCGGCGGCACTGCTTCTTGAGCTGAGCGTTTCTTCTGCTGAGAGTTAAGTGTGAGCGATCGCCCATCAGGACAAAAAAAATGTGAGCGATCATATACTCCACCCGTCTCAAAATTAACGTCGTTCTAACGATGGACACGAATACCAACGAGTAAGAGAAAAGACCAAAATACCCCTACTCTATCCTGCTCTCCTCCCCGTTCCCATCTCGATCCAGGTTGCCGGCGCGCCTGTCGTGCCCAGAGCCTGAGCCCTGCGCCTCCTGCCGGTGGAGGAAAAGAGGACGGGACGCCGCCCTGGCCTGTCCTGCCGTCCGCCTCAATGCCGGCTACCGCCTCCTTGACGATGGTCGTCCCCCCACCGGGCGAATCCGCTTACGCCTTGACGCCGACAAGCTCCGCTCGCCAGCGGCCAGCCCGTCTCTCACCTCGATGACGATGGCCCAAAGAAAGACGCTGATCGGGTCAGGGGCATGGATCTCGGCGACGACCGGGGCATGGATCTCACCATGGCCGCGATCGGATCTCAAAGAGGGGTGGATGAGGAAGAAGGAAGGGAGTAGGGCCCGCTCGGATGCGCCTCGACGCTGGCCTGCTCGGGAGGCGCCGCCGGATTCGCCTCGGCTTCGGGCCGCTCCACCTCCGCATCAGTCGATCCGCTTGGGGAACCGCCGCTGCACCTCCGCGTCGGTATGCTCCAGGTGGATGCGAACCAAGGTGAGAAACAAAAGCAGTAGGCCTGCAGCCTTGTGCAAGTGGGACCAGGGTCTAAAACGACAGTTTTTGTGGGACAATGGATGAGCTATAACGACAATTTTTCTGGGACAGAGGGAGTATATCATAAACGATCCAGTTTTTGTCTTCTTTTCATTTGCGATTTGAATTGGCAACCTGTTAAGAACGTAGTTTTTTTTGCTAATAACCTGAGACGCAAGTGTTCACAAAATGTATCGTTGCAGTGTCTCCAGAATGGCAGAATCATTTGTTTTGGGTGGTGAGAGTTGTACTGCATACATTTCCTCATCTTTTTTTTTTTTGAGGGGAAACGTTTCCTCATCTTTTGAGAAGAATGGGCACATTTTGCCGTGAGTCCATCTTCACGTCTCAAAACTATATGAACTTATGAAGCATCGTGGAGAGTCCAAACAACCAAAAATCCAAAATCCTGTAAGTTTTCATATTTTTGCATCTTACAGAAGGAGTGTAAGTTTTTTTAAGTGAAAAATAGGAGCATAGGTGCAAAAGGCATGGGCGTCGCCAACCACACAAACCACCGCAGGCCGAGAAGCCGAGATGGGCTTTCGGCCTATAGTTCTTCACATTTCGGCCCAATACTACGGGGCCACTATCATGGCTGAAGCCGGCTCGGCTCTTAGGCCTGTCCCAGACCAGCTAGAGCCTATCTGAAGTGGTGCAAGACCACTTGTTTGGTTGCAAGACCACTTGTAACCAAACGGGCCTGGCCCAGTAGAGATTGTGTTGGGTAGGCAGATGGATACGATCACCTCGCATCTGGAATATGGTAGCGTTATTTCTCTGTCTTGTTGGCATTTCATCGAGCAGTTGGTAGGCGGCGGCGAGGAACATGAGCAGTCTGGCAGCATGACGGGAGGAGGCGACACGGCCACCACCATGGGCATCAGCGGCGGCTGACAGCTGGCGTGGAAGTGCACGGACGGACCGAAGGGCGGCGTGAAGAGGATGTACCTGCACGAGGAGGCGGTCGGGGCAGCGAGGACGGCGTGCACGCGGCGACGCTGGTGAGCCAGTCGGCGCTGTACCAGCACGCCGCCAAGCAGCACGGGGACGGGGATGTGCACGGACCGGCGTTCGTGCACCCAACGGCGGTGTCAGAGGAGGCCGCCAGCGGCGGCGGCGCGGTGCGGTGGCGCGAGCTCCTGGAGCCTGGCATGCGGCACGCCCTGGTGTGCGGCGTTACGATGCAGGTGCTGCAGTAGTTCTCGGGCATCAATGGCCGCGCTGGTGTGCGGCGTCACGATGCAGATGCGCCATGGACCAGCTCGATTTGCTCCATTGACGAGCTCGATTTGCTCCCCTGCGCCATGGATGAGCTCGATTTGCGCCATGGACGAGCTCGATTTCCTCCCCTGCCCGATTTGCTCCCCTGCGCCATGGACGAGCTCGACGGACTCGGGCCCGCACCGCGGAGAAGAAGGGAGCCGTGGCCGGTGGATGAGAGACGAGGAAACGGGAGGTGAGTCCATCTCGCCCACGCACGCCCACGCGTGCTGCAGCGAGCCTGGCCGTGGAAAAACGAAGCCTCATTCTGTTTACCGGGAGCCAGGAGAGAGAGTGGTTTTGGCCTGTGGGAGCCGGGCTCACGAGTGGGCCAAGAAAACCAAACACGAGAGGGCAGCCGGACCATAGGGCCACGTTATCAAACACGCCCTCAAACTACCACTGTACCTGTACGGTGTACCCAGTGTACCACTGAATCTTCCGCCGCCTCCGTCCGCTTTGGCTCCTCGCTTGTCGCTGGCTCGCTGCCGATATGCGGCGGCACACGACGGCACCGGGTCGGGGCGCCGGCCGCCGGCCGCCGGGCACCCGAAATAACAGCCGTGCTGCCGCAGTGGCGCATACATGAAGCAAGCCGTACCTATGAGTCTCTGACTCTGCCGTCGAAGGTACGCGGCCATCTTGACTATCTCACATTTTTCACATCTCGTCTTAGACACAGCAAAAGCACGTTTCTGGAAAGAGGTCCACAAGACCCTTTCTTTTAAAAAGTAAAATTTAAAAGTTCTCACAATAAACAAAGCTATTCGTCTGTCAGTTTATTTAATTCTTATCATCGTTGACAATTATATCCACTCGATCTAGAAATAATTGGAAATTTAATTAACAATGCAAACATTGCCCCCACGGTTATGATTATTGTCACTTTAGTGAATGACACATGGGTCTATTAACAATGGTTTGTGGGTTTAGTAGCAAATTTGGGAAGCCCAAATGTTTACAATGGCTTGGGCCTAGCTGGGACCAGAGCCCTTATGAAATACTCCCTCCAGTCTACTTTACAAGGCAAACACGCAAACAAGATTCAAACTTCATAATCTTTGACCAATAATTTGGTGATTAATTTTTAACTATTGTAATACAAATTGGATATGACTAGATTCATGATCAAATATACTATCCAATGATCATAGCTTTATAATCATAAAAATTATAACATAGAATAAACAAATGGTCAACTTGTAATTTGGGTGATCATGCCATGTTTGACTATGCCTTATAAACCGACATGAGGGTGTATAACCTAAAACGGACCCATGAGTCTTCGTATAATTTACCCACCTACGTCGTTTTGAAAATAATATAAGGTAATCTCTTAATTAGAATATAAATTAGTACCCATTGTATTACTAAAATATTCTTTAAATGTATTTCTAGTCACTTACCTCTCTCATTATAAAAAATATATATCCGAAACTACTCGGATATATGCTTAGAAATTACATGCTTCTACTATTTTTAATGAGGTCTTTGATTGATTCTAAACCTTTGGATCATTATAAAATAAAATCGGATGGCGCATATTCTTTTATTTTTTGGATTAATCTCGTAATTACTGGATCCTCTCGACAAATATGAGGTTTCCTTTTAACAATGTTGTAGTCATGTTTATGCACGTAGCTCAAATTAAGGTTTCTGCTAAACACATGTGGAAGTATGATACAAAGGGATAACTATGAATGCAGACAGAAAAATATTCAGTGTAATTGGTAGCTAAAGTATACATAACACGGTAAAGATTATAGGGTATTGCTATGAGTAATGTGTCGTGAACAAATGAGGGTCAGCAATTTGATTAGTGAGTCTTAATTTCAACTATGGCTTGTACCACTTATCTCTATTAAAATTACTAACCCGTGTAAGAGTACGGTTTGACAGACTTAATTTTTAGAGTAAAATACACTGGCGGCCCTTTAACTTGTCGGCCTGTGCCAGATTGATCCACGAACTTGCAAACGCAGAAAATGTGCCACTGAACTTGTCAAGTTGTTCACCGCAGGCCCATTTCCCATCCGGCGCGGCCTTCAGGCGACGTGGCAGCGCCAGCGTGGCAAACGAAGCATGTGAGCCACACGTTTCAATACCGAACGCAGGTGACAATATGCATCTAGGCCCCTCCGCCTCGTCAAATCACCAAAATCATGTCGTCTCATCTTCAAGTTCATCGTGCTGGGGCGAGGCGGCTTGCGACGGAGGCAAAAGTTGGCGACTTTGCAAGATTCCGAGGAAGAGCAACGACGAGACGTACCTGGGGAGCGCAGGTTTCTGCCGCGATCGTGGTGAATCTGCGGCATGGCGCCGTGCCGTAGACCGAAAAGGGGAATCACCGCCAGACTACGGTTAGTCAATCGAAGCTCAAAACCTTCTTATTAGTGCCTTTAGAATGTGGTGGTGTGCATGTAGTTGTTCCTGGTGTAGGCCAATTTCATTTGTTTTGGTGGCTAGGGTTTAGGGTTTCTGGTGTAGCCTAAATAAATCAAGTAGTAATGAGCATCATTTGGTTCAATATAGGCGATGCTGAGAACAAGTTACTGTTGAGGTGCACCACTGTGGTTTCTTTGATGGTCAGGATTCGAATAAGGCTTACATTGATGGAAAGTGAATTGGTTTGACCATTGCGAGGTAGATACCTGGTCTCCATTGTGCTTCTTGGATTTTATTGATGAGTTGGAATGTCCTAAAATAGATGCTCTGAAGATATACTGGTTGCTTCCTGGAATGGATCTTGCTCGTGGACTTAGGGTGATTGAGTCAGATTCAAAGACATTGGTGATGACTGGCATTGTTGACATGGTGAAGAACCTTATTGTCTATTTTGATCATGATAACAGCATGCCTGGCATAAACTAGGATGCCATAGTGGCAAACCCAATTGCTTCACTGCCCAAAGTAATCAGCCCAGCCAAGGGAGGATTTGTTGGGAAGGAAGAAGGAGAAGAACTGCCACCATTTGAAATGGAGCAGGATTCAGTGTAGCAAGATTCAATGCAGCATGATGTGCATGGAGATGATGGTGACAGTGAAGATGACTCTAATTTTAGTGATAGTGATTATGATTTAGAGGGAGATGATGATGTTATTTTTGTAGACTATGTTGATGAGGATATCACAGAGGAGACTGACAGCAAAGGGCAGCAAAAAGGTAAGGGCAAGAAGGCTGTTGGTGGCAAACCAAAGAGGAAAAAGGTTTCATCTTTGGTTGTTTATGGAGAGGAGTCAACAGATAAATCTGAGCTAGAATTACAGAATCTGATGAAGAAGAATAAGGTCTAAGGTTTAAGTCATTCAGAAGTGAAGACATAGACAATCCCATCTTTAAAGTTGGCATGATATTTGAATCAGTTGAGATGCTCAGGAAGGCTATCACACAATATAACATGAAGTAGAGGGTAGAGATCAAGATGCCCAGGAATGAGAAAAAAATGTTGAAGGCTCATTGTGCAGATGGGTGTCTTTGGGATTATGCACATGAATTGAGAAGAAGCAATCCAGGGAGCACTTTCTATCTTAATCTTGCTGGAAACCTATTCTCATCCTTGTATGTTTCTTTGGATGCCTGTAAGAGGGGCTTCCTAGCTGATTGCAGACCTATAATCTACCGAGATGGTTGCCACCTTAAGACTAAGCATGGAGGGATAATGCTCACCGCAATTGAAATTGATCCAAATGAGTGCATTTATCCAATTGCATTTGGAGTTGTAGAAGTTGAGTCTCTGGCTACTTGGAAGTGGTTCTTGAAAACATTGAAGCAAGACCTAGGCATTGAAAACACATACCCATGGACTGTCATGACTGACAAACAGAAGGTACCAGCTTTTGCACATCTTCTTAACTTGCAGCTATAGTATTCATGCTAATCTGTTCTTGTCCATTTGTAGGGTCTAGTACCAGTTGTTGCACAGTTTTTCCAAAAATCTGAACACATGTTCTGTGTCAGACACCTATATTCCAATTTCCAGATGCAATTCAAAGGTGAGAACTTAAAGAACCAACTCTGGACTTGTGCTAGGTCAACCACAGTAGTTAAGTGGAATGAGAACATGGAGAAGATGAAGGTCCTTAACCAGAAAGTTTTTGAATTGCTGGAAAAGATGCCACCAAATACTTGGGTTAGGGCTTTCTTTAGCACTTTCTTCAAGTGTGATATTCTACTAAACAATAGTTGTGAGGTGTTCAATAAATACATACTAGATGTTAGAGAAATGCCTATCTTGAGCATGTTAGAGCAAGTGAAGACACAACTGATGACAATGTATCATACAAAGGACAAGGATGTAGGGACTGTGTGGGATGGTCCTGTTTGCCCTAAGATAAGGAAGAAACTTCATAAGAATTCTCAGTGGGCAAACACCTGTTATGCACAGCCTGCTGGTAATGGTATTTTTCAGGTCAATGTGGTGGATAGACAATACACAGTGGACCTAGGCATTAGGCAGTGTGATTGCAGGAGGTGGGAGCTGACTGGTATCCCTTGCTCTCATGCTATATCTTGTTTGAGGATAGAGAGAATTCCTCCTGAGTCCATGGTTCATGAGTGCTACTCTACTGCAATGTGGCAGAACCGTCCAAAATAACACACTTACGGATGCGCTTTTCTTCCACTAGATACTAAGCACCCCGAAGGTGAGCTACACCAGGCAGTTCTGTCGAGCACACCCCAAGGGAGAACCCAAAAATCTACATTTTTCATCAGGATCACAAATGAGAGAATAAAGCTTACAACATTCTTAAGTCATTTCTTACATCACTTTCCATGCAACCTCAGAGTATAATATTTATGGTTTAAGATAGCGGAATATAACCATGTTATCAAAGTTTAAGCGAAAATAAAACCATTTAACGACAAGTTAAACATTACCATGATGATCCGTTATATACATCATAACAGGTTATAAGTTTTCATTGTAAAATATTTTGGGTGGATGTTTCAAATAAACTTTATGTCCGCAACATTAAGGAAATCCTCGCTGAGCCCACTAGGAGGTTTCTACACACAAGTGTCAGCTCCACATGTTCCTGTCTCCTACAACAGGGTAGAACAAACCCT